GGATTTTGGTAGGGCCTATATTTTCAAATTGAGACCCCAAATTTCACAATAATCCGATTTCATAATCAGCCGCGACAAATAATATAAAAAAATTTATCATCAATTGTGTAACGATTTCGTGTAACATCAACGGTTCCTCCTGTTGGTTAGACGTTTATATAAATTGCGCAATAAAAAAATATAAGAAATGTCGAAAAACAATAGTCAATAACGCACTTTATACTTCAGGTCAATACTTAAATTTCAGTATGAAAAGGTTGTAGTCAAATGACTAAATTTACAACAAAGCATAATTTCTTTATATATTATATATACAGTATAGTTATAATTAGAAAAAAAAATTAATTAAATAAAATTGAGTGTCGCCAGGTATTTAATTTGGCAATATATAATTATAATATATTAAAATTAATTTGTTGGCGTCCAAAACTACGTACGTATTAACAGGTGAATGACCGAGAAATTTCTATACGTGATTTAAAATTTAGTTAGGCTAAATCTTTTAAGACAAATAATTACTGCATGCATCCAAAAAGTGAAATTTACCAATTGAATGATCAGTAAAGGTTTTGATAATCTAGTTAGAGATACATTGAATTTATTTCTTAATTCGCAACTTGACATTGCAACATGTCTACATACCACCAATTTCGGAAATGATATGGGCAGACATAAGAAATGTGCGTACACGCGGCCCAATTAATTTATTAATCTTATCGTTGTCTAAACTTTGTATATATTTTAGGAAGAAATTGATGGGACCTGTTTCCATAATTATCGTAAGCCAATAAATAATGATTCCAAACATTTATACATAAGAAACTTTTGGCGTCTAGATTGTTTATTACACATTATACGACAACCTGGCTTTAATAGAAAAGATCAACTGGTTATATAACACAGTTATTCAACTGCATGGAACACAAAACATACCTTTGCAGATCATCTACTGATAGATGTTTTTGAACCATGAATTATCAATTAAGTAGTGAAAATTTCAGTCCACCTTCTAATGCACATTCATTAATATCACGCGATTTCAGACAATTAAAAAACTAATAAACCGTTTCAGATAAAAGCTGTATGACGCATATCAACGTTTAATTTTAACTAAGTTTATTCAGTCATAGACTGCAAATGTCAACTGACCTATTCTTAAGCAATTCTTTTTTTTAATGCGGGGGAAATTCACGCTGCGTCACGTTGTTGCAGATGACCGTCTTTTACTACTGTACTATCGCTATCGTTTTTTTTATTTTTATGCAAGTAAACATACCACAAATCCGAAATATATATATTGTTCCCGTCATTTCTTAAATTGGAAAGCTTCGTGTAACCATTGCGTAAGTACCACGGTCATTAGGAAAGATACTTCGCACACTAATATTCCCATTTCCTTAATTTGAAAGCAAGTTTTTGGCAAATTTGTGACTACAATTTGTTTTTATGTTTCATGTTAGTTAAACCGTGTCAGCTGGATTTCATGACTTTGTGTACATACTTATTTGATCCGGCCGCCTCAATTTTTCAGCCAAAGTCCTTTTTCACACAAGTCTAAAAGTAATGTTTATAAATATAAATTATTGTGAACCTTTAAATCCTTTTCACTGCAACCTTTTCGAATTACCTAACCTTAATTTTTCTGTGCAAATTGTTATTTTCTTAGATATTATATAAAAAAACAAAAGCAATGTCGAAAGTTTCTCGAAAAGATGGTAAAAAGCCTTATTATTATTCAAATTCTCTCCCTGACCACATTCGAATTCGAGAATTCCAACAAAAAGATATTGATGAGATTCAAAGGATTTATGCTAACTCAATGATGGAGTAAGTTTCTTCTATCATTCTATCAAATTAGTCTCACTCATCTAATTATTCTTATATTCCATTATTAGCAATGTCCCATATGCTATCGGGGATATCATGCAGCACCGTTATCTTCTTTGTTTATGGTTAGGCTTAACATATTTTACTGTAAAGAATCACAGCAATATACATTTATTATTTATGCTCCTCGTTTTTATCGGTTGGGGTTTTTTCCTCTACGTTAATGTTCGACGAATCATAACGAGTACAATTTCCTACGAAACGCGACATGCAATTCATACCGATTTGTCTAAAATTTCAGAAAAATATGGAAGTGGTACAGTACAGCAACAACTAACAAAATCTGATAAATACCATTCACAAGAAGATTTAGTCGATCAACCTCATAATGATCGTATTGCGAGATTTTGGGTTGCTGTTGATAAAGAGGCAGGAAATAAAGTGGTAGGCTTTCTAGAAATTGTGGACAATGAAGATGATGATCCTCTAAGAAAAAAATATATTATGGAACCATATGCGCCTCATATAAAGCATTTATGCGTGGCTACAAATTATAAAAGGAAAGGAATCGCTACTGCATTATTGAAACATGCGATAAAGTTTATACATAAAAAGAATGCAAAAAGTCTGGGAGTTCTTACCTCTGCCTGGCAAGGACCAGCAATGGAAATATTTTATCGTTTTGGATTCATAGAAGTAAAGCGAAGAACTATGACCTATGGATTTGTTGAATGTATAAAACTCAGTCTTGATGTTGAACAATGGATTAGGTGTCGTAAAGCACGTAAACATAGTTCATCTATTAGTTCTATTAGTGACGCGTAATCGTCATAATTTCATGATTTTAACACATGAAAGTTCCGAATTTGGTATTGTCAATCAGGATTGAAACGCGCCATGGATCAAGTAATTGTAACACATCAAATGTTCTACATGCATCGACAGGATATATTATAATAAGCTATAACTTGTGTAGAATTTTAGAATTATCAGGTATATTAGTATTAATTACACGTACGTTAGATAGTTTGTCTATCATATCTAATTTCTCATCTCGTACCGTATTAATCATTGAGTACAAGAACAATTATTCGATTAATACATTGTAAGAAAGATCTTCGTTATGAAATGATGTTTAATTTCTTAGGGTCGAGATATAATAACGGTAATATGTTTCGGACGTCCTATTATCAAATATTGTAAATGATACTTGTATTTTAATGTTAGATTTAATTTATTAAAATTTTTATAAATTTATTTAAACTACTACGTTGTAACATCTTGAGCTATGACACTTTAAGTCATTAAATTAAAACTTGCTAGCTTGTGGGTCTGAAGATATTGGCTCTTTAAATATTTGCAACTTGCATACCTTAACATTATAAATTATAGCATCCGTATATTCTATGTCAAAGGTCTTTTATAAAAAAATTAAATTCTTTTATTAAATTAGCATGTACTGTATACGTCGTGAGATATGAATGAAATTGAGTGCGTCAGACCAAAATTTGGTTTTGAGATGCGTCAAACCTATTTATCTGTTACGCGTCAAATTCTGATTAACGCAGAATACACATATGGGTCTCTGCAGCAAACTCCATGCATAATATATATGTTGTTGATCGACTCAACCTACTTGTACTTGTATCTTTATTATAGGGCTGTTAATGGAGTACTCCGGACTATAATAAAACATATAATCGCTTCTGGAGTGCTCCGGAGTGGGTTATATGTTTTATTATTGACTGGAGCACTCCATTAACAACCCTAATTTATTATAACAAAGATCGATTAATGAATAGATATCTAATTTAGAATTCTATTATTCCTCTATAGGATTGGTGTTTATTAGTATGTATCACGTAAAAGCGTCAGTATTTTGATGCAGTTCTTCTAACGGATATTTTTGTTATTCTTTAATATCTAATAATTCAGATTCATCTACACATTATAAATTACCATATTGCACTGATTACAGGACCAGGATCTGATACCAACTATTCAACGAAAACTTATATGGTCATATTATACATATATATGATAAAAAAATATGTTATGTCAAAATACCCGTGTATTTTACATGAGATAAAAAAGGATCAATGCGATACGGACTAAGTATTCCATTGTTGAATCTAAGACGATATTTAAATGTTAAAATTTTCAAAGTATATATAGGTATGGTTAACAAAATTCATATATATGCTCAATAAAATTTGAATATACTCTCAACTAAATTCATATACACATATGATAAAATTCATATACCGGCAACTCTATTCCAAACAGTCCATCCCTATATGTAAAAATATCAAAAAGTTTAGTTCTCAAAGAGCTACTATGTTGTTAATCCGAACTTTATAATACAGTAAATTCATAAATTTTCTGGAGCTTTGTGTACGGCTTTTACATAGTTTATTAAGGATTTGGATTATCCAAGTTCGGATTTGGAAGAGTTGACTATAATAGTTAATAATATTTATACAGATAAATTTATTTATATATTTTTATCAATTAAAGAATAATGATTAGAAACAAAGTTTTCAACTAGTACAGATAAAAAATCTTAGAGAATAAATAGAATAATTAGACAAATATATTAGCAAAAAAGTAATAAAAATATTAAAAAATACAAGAATTAAAAATATACAAACAGATGAATTTAGCTTTAAATTATAATAGCAAAAAAATTATAAAAAGATAAAATATATAATAAATTATATTATAAAAAAAAAACAATTTTACAAGACAACTCTTCTTGATAATTACTTGGACTAATTTTTTCTTAACTACAAGTTGAAGACTCAAAACCAAGAAGCTCAAACAACTTGTTGTTTTTGTATACAAACTATTGTTAATAAAGTCTTTAAACATGATATACCAAGATATAGATATTGTAAATAGTTTGTATAGGGATCAAGATTTGTTTTTTTTTTTGTTTTTTGAGTAGGCTTTTCTTTATATTTAGTATCCAAACTAGAGAAGCCTTTAAAATAGCAAGTATATAGAAATATAAATAGAAAAGATAAAAAGATAAAACAAACAATACAAAACTTCTTTTAGTTAATATCTCATAACAAGTATTTTTTTTTTAGCTTATACAGTCAGACCTCTCTAAATGCAACCTCTCTAAATGCATATATATAAAAAACCTTCTTAAATGCATATCTTTTTTTGGGTCTAACTAATATAACACTTATAGATTTTTACCTTCCTAAATACATAACCTCTTTAAATACATATTTTTAAATTTTTTTACTATGGTCCCAATATCATATATTTAGAGAGAGTTGACTATACTTTATATTAATTTTTTTTAAAAAGTGGAGATTTTGGTTTCTCTTTATTAAAAGATTAGTATTCTTATATTTTTATATCAGAAAGTTTAGCTACAATATAACTAATAAATATAACAAATATAGTATTATCACCAGATAAATTTTAATTTAGAAACCTGGGTATATTTATAGATAATAAACTATAAAATGATAATTAACTATATTAAAATTTAGATATTTATAACTATAACTGTAGTGATGATCACTATTGTATAATTAGCCAATAAATTTGCAGGATCAGGTGTAATGTGCAAATTAATTTGTGTAATAAAAATAAAGATTTTTTTAAAAAAATAACAATATCTCAAGAATTCGTCTATGAAACTATCTTCAATGTTCTAACAAAAAAAAATTCTTTGCTAAATTTTGTATATATCTAACACCTTGCTAAAATTCTAGGCCTTACTCTAACCCTAAAGTAAATAAAATAAAATCTTTTTTTAGTTTATTATTATTAGCTAATTATATACCAGTGATGATTACTGCCAGTTATTTAAAGTAATTTTCTTAAAATTTTATTAAATATATATAAAAATTTTAAAAACTAATACTGTATTTAAAGCTTGAATAAAAATAGAAAATTTTTATAATAAGTAATTTTTTTAGTTTCTTGACTACTTGCTTTTATTTGATTATTAAATTAATTTACTTACTGTATAATTACTACTTTTTTTTTTTTTGTTAGAACATTGAAGATAGTTTCATAGACGAATTCTTGAGATATTGTTATTT